AAGGTGCGTAGTATTGTGAATAGGAATTGCGCTTGCAGTCACCAATTTTGTTGTACTTAAACAGCCGTCTAACGGTTTCAGGGTCACTGTAAAACTTCGAGCGCTGCCCGAAGTGTCTTCAGTTAGTCCGAAAGTTTGGATGTTTATTGAACGTGCCCAAAACAGCTAGAGTTTATGCGGTTCGCCTGGAGACAATCCACATCCCAAGTTATGAGAAGACATACTCCTTAATATTGTCATGTGAATACTTGGCGTTTATGTACCGCCTGTGTTTGTGCAATAGAAATCAAACAAATAATTGCGAAATTTGGGAGGAATGCGCAGAAGTTGGTAAGTACGGAAACCCGAAAGTCCCAAAGTGCTCTTAAAGTAAATGATGGCCAAGATAGAATAGACCATTGGGTTTCGTGGCTGGGCTGCTGAAGAAGAAAGAAAATTGACCCAAAGTGAGCAGGAAGGGTTGCAGTTTATTCCACTGTTAAATAACTGCAACACCTAAACAACCTCTAATTTTATCAGGAGATGCAGTGAAACAAAGGGATATGAGACCCTTTTGTCATAAAATCCGTCGCCTCTAAACGAAGGATATTTGTCACACAACCGTAAAAATACGGGTTGGGTTGCGCTTCAACAATTGAAGAGAAGTCTTTGATTTTTGGCAGTACTTTCGGAGTTAACGAAATTAGGAGTCGAGTTGGCCACACGGGGTACTTGAAAACATCTCAGAAAAGTCGCCTGAGCTCTTTGAATCTCTAAACATTTGTTGACGGGTACGCCATTGATCTATAAGGTACAGGTTGCCATAACTTATGCGACGAGCTACATTGCCACTGGTGGTGCCGACTGTCGACAGGATACGGACCACCTTAAAGAGTACGAATTATGCACCATTTGTTGGATGATGAAGAGATTGTCAAATAAGGCAAGGATTGGATGGCCTGATAGTACATGCATCATTTACACTGTTTGTATCTATGTCGCTTGATGGGCGTTTAATCGCTAGATGTAGAAGACACTAGTAGATTGCGTGGTAAGCATGTCTGTGGGGTATGATGCCAATTTCGCGGCAAACAATGAATAGTCCAAGCAGAAAAAAACAATTCAGTAGATAGAATTTGCATTTGTTGGCACAACAACTGGAGGGTAATCTCAACATTCTGGCACAGTCAACCAAATACGTGCACCCTTGTTTTCAACATAGATTGCAACTTATCGGCTAACAAACATGGCTTCACCTTCCGTCACTTGGAAACAACCACAGTGGAGCAAAGCCAGTTGAATGATTTCAAATGGGCAGAAGTTTGATGCAACCGTTCTAATAGATGTGACTTGGTACATCACTTCGAAATCACCAATGGCTTGTTCCTAACGAAGTTGGTGAAGAAGCGACACTTGAACTTGGTCCAACTGGTCGTGCATAAAATTTTCGGCTTTTGTGAAAGTGAGAAGCAGTGAAGTCCCCAAACTAAAGCTGGGAAATGACTTTAACGTTACTATTCCCTGAAAGATCAGGCTTAAATTCTGACGCTAGCCGAATAGACGCTCTTTCAGGTTGTTGCCAACCATACCTGTATTTCACAACCACTTTGCATATTATAAGTTGATGTTAGGTTGGCTGTTTCGTAGAGAGAATGTCTTAGCCTCACTTCTGTAAACTTTCCGCAGAATGGCAATATATCTCTTGGGAAAAACAGCAGTCAAAGCAAAAAACGTAATTGCTGGCCAGGCTGTTTTGAACGGTAGTGATCTGAGATCTTAACGACCATATACAGAAACCTCAGAAACCGTACCAAGTGACACAAGAGCTCACATAAATATCGCTTTTTATCTCCTAATGTGTAACTTTTATTCCACTCAATGGAAGAAATACCTTCAGAAGTGCCCACTGCTCTAACAAGTGGCAGTGTACACCAAGCGACTGCGGCATGATACGTTCCAAGCAACAGTGACACATGACAGCCGGCATTCATCCGAATGTTTATTCAAAAAACTGAGCTTCTTAGACCCTTATCGTATCCCATTTCAGGGATACACCACCTACTAACAGATAAAGTATAGCAATTCAGTGACGCAGTCCACTGGGTGAAAAGGAATAAACACTGCCAAAATTTGAACTGTACTGCTCTAACAAACTTGCACTCCTAGAGAGAAGAAGTAGTTCCAAGGAGCCTGGAACAAAGTTATCGCCGCTATCCATCATTCCTGAGTATGCCTTGAAAATCGCCTCATCCAGGTAACATCTAAAGGGGTTACTTTTTTACATGAACTGTGAGAATAGAACGTACGGTGCCATCCATCCCTTGCTTAAAGAAACGGAAAATAACCAGTTAACTGAAGATGATAGGGACAGTGCGAAGGCCATCACCGTATATTTCGCCTACGTATTCTACCAGGAACCTCCAGTGAACGCGACTTCAGCAGTAGGGGCATTGAAACTGAACAGTGTACTGTCTACGAACATCTATATCTGTGATTCACCTTGAACATTAAGCGCTCTGGGTATGGAAAGTTCACTGGGAATAGATGAGCTTTACCCAAGGTAGCTAGCTCACTGACCACTACGCCTAGACCTTCCCTCAGTGAAGGCACACCCCCAAGTGAGCAGACAGACCCCGTAGTTGCAACTCCTCACAAGGTAGGTCCTGGGTAGCACCAATCAAACTGAAGACAGACAAGCTTGACCAACGCTGTTGTAAAAATCCTGAAAATAGTAATCAGGAAGGCCGTTATTATAACCTAAAAAGCAACACTGCATATCCGCGTTTGTAACGCGGCTTTCACATGCGTTTCTCTTGCTTGACGAGCCCTCTAGTGGTCAGAGTAATTCGGGTTAGGTCTGTGAATGATGGGATACCCATATATATCATTCACCAGCCTCAGTGAGGCTATCATCCCAGTTGGCTCACGAAACTAGAAGCCCTCGTAGTCGCTGGCAATCTACTTGCGTGGATCAGAGTTAGTGATTAGTAGTAGTAGAGGCAAAGGACAGAGATCAACTTTTAATTCTCTCTTCGAAGCTGGTACACAGCGGAGTATTTTGAGGCAGATTCCATGATCCCCAACTATTTCTGCTGTACTGAATGAACTGCCAATTATCACAAAATCTTTCATGGTTCTTCGCTCCCACGATGAAAAGTCTGGCTAGAGGTTAGGTATTATGCTGACGTACACACAATTCAGACACCTAACCACATTGTTGTCCTGGCCAGACAGACGGCTGATGCCTGTCGACACAGATGTGTGGGTGTGCAGATGGTAGCAGACCGCAACACCAGCAATACTGACGGGACTCCTTCACCCTCAGTTTTAGACACAGGAATGAGTCACATTAGGTAGAGATCTGTGTACACGACTCCCTATCAACTGGCCACAGTACAGAGCTTTGGGATACTTTGGGCACTCGTACGTAAATATTGTGACACTCTATGGCTTACGCAAATACACACTATGTCCGGTATTATGCAGAAGGTTTACGACAATAAGTGGCGACACCACATTCATGTTGGTGACTATCAGAAAGATCCAGGATGCGCGTTTTGTCCCATTCGGGAATCGTCAACCGGATGCACCTGCGCCACAGTGAGTGAAATCCCCTCCACCGAGACCCGAACACAGTACCCAAAGCCTCGAACCCCTCTGCTAGTCATCGACATGAATATGACATCATGAATATCTGGCAGCATTGAGGCCTGCGCACAGGAGCCCATCCGCCAACAACGGAGGTCGAGGAAATCGGTACTATGTAGCAACGGGGAATGCGGGTATCAAAATAGCGAGTGTAGCCTAGGTGTGGTAGTTTTGCGCAGTTAATTACCACCATAAATTGTTGACCACTCTTAGGTTTCTAAGATTTTATGAAACTATCTGATTACTTGGGAAAGAAGAAAGGTTTCGTTATTCATGCGATGTCTCTGTGTTTTATTGAGCATCGCATCATTGGACCACCATATCTGAGAAGAGATGTGAACCTCCTGGAGAAATTCTAAGGGCGAGCAACAAAAGGTGTCTTGGGAATGAGGTGGAAACCCTATGAAGATCTAGGGCTCTACTCTCTAAGCTGCCGTAGATCACTTGGTGACTTGACAACGGCTTAGAAAATATCAAGTAAGCCAAGCCACCCGAATAGTGGAATCCTACCGAACGGCCACTGCGGCAATCCTCATGTAACTCACGAAGTATTGCCCACTAAGGGGAAAAACCCGTGTGCAATCACACTTCTCCCTTCAGGTTTGACGCCACTGGAACGCACTGCCCGCCAAGACTGCTGCAGCTGCGTCTGTCGACAGTTTCGAGAAGAGGTTGGGCAGTTACTCAGGGGCGCACGGTTTGAGCCTATCCATCTGGACTGAGCCGATACAACCTACTAACTCCACACAACTAAGCCAACCCATTACCGAATCCTTTGTAACGCTACTTTCATTGCGAACCTGGCTCAACCTTATACTTTCCTGTGAACATCTCCAGTTACCATCTACTAATAGTATTACTATCTCTGTTCCCACAAGCGGTACTATAAAGCCTTCTTCTCCTCTTCCTACTGACTTTATGTTCTCACTCTATTCAGTGAAAGCTTTCCCTATCACCCGTATCCCATGAATCTGCCGAGGTTTCTTCTTCTCTTCCGTTTCCTTTCACCGAACCAGTGTTTTCTTCCTTTCCTTCCTCTCCCATTTTTTCCCTGGACATCTTTTCTGTCTTCTTTTGACAACCAGTCGGGCCATTCGTCTGCTGGCACGACACTCGAGGAACCCATCTGCACCACAGCCCTTGAAAAAGCCACGCACTGCCTACAAATTTAAGCAACACCCAACCGCCCGTCAGGCTAACCAAAGCAACAGCAGTCGAGTGGGTAAATCTACTGCATCGGAATCCGCTGAAGATCTGGAACCATTCCGCAAGACCTAGAAGCGCGAGTGAAGAAGTCAGTCGTCTTACACTAGCTCGTAAAAGGATATTGGATATTGGGACATTTATAGCTGATTCCGACCATACCACTGAACGTTGAACACGAAAGTACGGTGCGTGGTAGATTTGTTTTGTTCAGTAGCCTTTGGACTTTGTTATGGATTTAAGTCTCGATGATATTATTCAGCAAAAACGCATTAAAGTTAGTAGAGGACGAGGACGTGGTCGAGGTGGAGAATCTCTTCGAGGTGTCCGTCGTGGTGGAGTAGCCCGGCGGAGTTCAAATGGAATGGTATTTCTGTGGACTGGAATTTAACTGTATTTATTCTATAGTCACGTGTCTTACCTGATAAATGGCAGCACGATATGTTTCAAGATGGTCGAAGCCCCAAAGCAGCCAGTAATACCGCTGCGAATGCAACCAGACTTCATATATCTAACTTGGATTTCGGTGTTAACAATGATGATATAAATGTAGATTCCTTTCCCCCTTAGTTACACACTATTTTGTAGGAACTTTTCCGGGAATTCGGTGCAATTCGGAAAGCAACAGTCCATTATGACAGAAGTGGCCGTTCTTTGGGAACTGCTGAGGTCGTTTTTGTGAATCCTCTAAGTGCAACTAAAGCCAGAAACCACTACAATGGTGTACCGCTTGATGGACGTCCAATGGTCATTCAGTTAGTCGGTGCAGGTTAGTCAACATACCGTCAGCCAAGTCCATCAGGAAATCACTTGGGTTTCAACTGTCGGTTTCGTAACTATGCATGGTTCCACGTTGTTTGGGAAGATAGTGTTTCCATATTGACGTGCTGCCAATAAACATCTTTTTAATGTTTTCTCTTACTGGGATATATAAAGCTCGTACTTTTTGTCGTTGCTGATTATGAAACAAAAACTCCGCGTTTCTGTGGATGTACGTCTACGTCATTTTCCGATGGTCGTTCATAGACGAGGAACGTGGTGGAATTCTCCGTTGTCTCAAGGTTTGGTTCTACCATTGCAATGGGCAGGGAGGTTTTCTAAGTTTTGCTTTTATATTTTTGGAATGTGTATGTATACTGGCACATAAGTTACTCGGTCTAATACGAAAGTCGTGTCACGCTTTGACAACTTGCTGAAGAACTTTGTGTTGTACCATTGTGTCAATAAATATTAAGCTTACATTATTCAAGTACTCATTGACCAAAATAGGGAATCAGCTCAGGATTGCTTTGCACATATCAAGTTTGTGGGACTTTCGAATTCCTTTTTATTTCCCGAAATCGGGGACAGAAATAGTGATATACTTGACTTATCAGTGAGTTGTTCATCTCAATGTCAGCCCATCACTCTAGCTCCATTAACGCTAGCTAGTGGTCAGGCCCACTAAACGTCCCTATAGTGTCATAAGACGATAAAATGCGTGTATAGTCCCCGGCTCTTTGTTGTTTTGTGACTTGATTCCTAGTAATGAAGCTTTAAAAGCCAAGTCCAATTTCTAGTGTTTTTGACTAATCTTAGTATCTACTTTACCTACTAGAATGAATTCTAGGACTTCCGACTACTTTCTTTTTCGTCAATCTAAATCTTAAGAGAAGTGGCACTATTTTACGCAAAAGGACAATTTTCAAACTAATTTGCCACGCACGCTTCTAGTTATTCTTCGAAGGGTGGCGGGGTCTTTCGACCCTACAAGCTGTTGTCACATCTACCATGCAGTGTGGAGATACAACTTCAATAAATTCTTTAGGAGGTTCTTCGTTTCATGCTTTCATCTTGAAAGACCTGGAATCTACGGATAAACTAAGATTAATATTGAAATAGGTACATAGTCAACTTTTATAACGTTTGCTGACTTTACTGAATGTATTTTCTTTATAAAGCTCCTGAACCTGCCGCGACAGTACGTCCACGTGCTACTCGTCCTCGTGGTTCTCCAGTACGCCGTGGCTTTGGACGTGGTCGAGGTCGTGCACGGGGACGTGGGCGAATTCAGAAGCCGACAATTACAAAAGAAGAGTTAGATGCACAGTTGGCTGCATACAATGCTCAGGTAATTTGTACTTTCGGGTTTCATATTCGACTAGTAATCGGTCAGCAATATGATTTATTGTGCTAGCTTTTAGTTATCAGTACTCTGTTGATAGAAAGAAATTGTATTTCGTAGTATGATATGACTAACACAAGAACTGCTATCACTTGCAGTGGTGAAGTATTTACTGAGGTTAACATAATTACCAGTGTTTGGTTTTGTCCAGTCTCTCAAATAGAGCTATACATATGCAATGCAACCCGTGTTCATGAACTTATAACGAATGCGTGCCATTTTCAGAACCTCACCGTAATGCGGTGTTGTGTGCTTCAAGGAATTCGCCTCTGGTTAGGTTCTATGTGTACCTTGAATCAATATTATTAGATCTTTTTAGCCAACCGCCCAAACTTGCTTATTATATTCAGCTATCTCGTTCAATTTGAACAGCAATCTTCGCTATCTAAGACTGGTATCTCAAACTACCTCAACTAGTAGGGTGAGTGAGCGAGATTCGTCTTCCGACTTTTGAAAGATTCATTGACTTCTGGTGTTCTTATAGGTGTGGGTAGTGTTAATTACTAAGGCAGAAAGTGCACTGCTCGACTGGATCCCAGTTGGCAGTCGCCTATTCACCGTTTGACTGAGTGGCACAGTGAGGGCTAAACAGAATAGAACTCGCCGTTGTCTCTTTCTAATCCGTTAATGGACCCGCTATCTGCAGTTCGGAAAAAGTGAAGGGTGTCCTACTAAACACTACCTTACCTCCCACTAAAAGCCAAACGTTCATACGTGGTTGTTGTGGCTGGTAATTTCAATGTGCAAGTTGGTAGACTGTCAGACAGACGGGTACTTGGGTGGCACTTTTGGAATCTACGGAGGAATTGTGACCACCTACTATAACTATACTCTGACAACCAAATATTTCTGAGCAGCAAGAACTTCAGATATAGACATAGTTTGACGTGGCATCCACCAACGTCAGCTCACTGACCGGCATGGATAGACTATAGAGCTATTGCTTTAGATGGTCGATGGGGGGGGGATTCCTGCCCCTCCTGGAGCGTATATTTGGACAGACCACTCGTTGGTTCAAGCACGTGCAAATGGACGTAAAAAAACTATTGCAACACGATAATGAGAGCATTAAGACTGCTTTCAGCGAGTGAACGGCTGGACAGTTTGAAGAGAACAGAATCACCCGTCAAGAAACCTACACCATCTCCACTTTACTATAAAAACAGCATTGAAGACCGTAGCCAACTCCGAGAGTGGTCAGAAAGGTCTAGTGGATCTCAGCGGCTTCTGAATTGGTGGATATATGCAAACGCATCCCTGCAGACTTCGAGCTTAGTGAAGAGCGGCAGCAGCCCAAGTATTGGCTGACTAGAAGTCTACGTAATAATCACCAACAGTGGTGGGCAGTGAAGGCTAATATGTAAGAGGCAGCGGAAATAAGTGACACTGGATAGTTATTTTTACCTGTTAAGGAAGCTGGGACGAAAAGGTTAATGAGACTAACGGAGAACGATGGGTCTGTGATCCACTCACCGGCAAGGAAACTGAAACGATGTGTGGAACACTGAAGAACAGTTCAGCTGACTTCTAGCTACTATTCCTTGTGCTAGCTATCCAGTTGGACGCTGAATAAAACATCGGCCAGCATGTTTCCAGTAGTACATAAGAGAATCAAACATAACATGTGCGCCTCAACTGTCTCCTTTGCTTTCACCTGACACTAATATTGAGCGTCTTATGCCTTACCCAACCCCACTCTGGAATCATTGTCAACGATCAAAGCTATGGAAACCTCATTCCTAGTCTCCTGAGACCCTGTTGTCGATTTCACGTACGAGCTTTGAACGTCCGAACACTGGCGAATCGGACAGCAAGCACTGCTCTCCAGAACTCTGGAATCTCTAGCCTTGGATATATGCTGTGTCTCTGAGACACGTATGCAGGACGCGAGTGGGGTTATTAAATTAACCTCATCTGGTCATAGTAGTGAGTCTTCAAAATATACCTTCAAACTATCCAGAGACCCAATGGCTAGCTCTCGTGAACTTAGTGGTGTAGGCATACCATTGAGTTGTAGAGCAAAAAGTGCACTTCTCTACTGTATACCAGTCAGCAGCTGTCTGTATACTGTTCGACTAAATGTAGATGTTAGGATCACGAAACTATGCGATGCTTATTCGTAATCTCCGTCTGGTCGTCTGTTGTAATTTTGCTCCGAAAACCACTTGTTTCTGTGCAGCACTGATTCTAGGCATAATGAGAGACTCACATGGCGTTTGCCAACGCCGAACCAACGATGGACGCAGACAGATCATATTCCTATGAGTCATCGTTGGATAGGATCGGTGGAGGATTGCCGCTCTTTCTGGAGTACCAGTTTGGACTCCAGTCACGCGCTAGTATGGACTCGTGTATGCCTGCGCCTTACTGGTCACAGGAAGCATGCGATAGTGAGACCTGTATATGGCCGATTGAGAGATGAGGAACGAAAAGGATGGAACGTTGATAACCTTCCAGGACAGGGGTTGGAACGTTGGACAGAACACTTTAAAGCACAGTTCAACTTGCTCTAAGCAACGCTTCAGTTGCCCAACATCCAGTCTGAACCTGAATGGGATGTAGATGTTGACCCTCCAACTCTCCTTGATTTTGAGAAAGCTGTATCGAACCTGAAGCGATGCAAAGCAGCAGGACCTGGCAGTTTACCAGCTGAAGTTTTCAAGAATGGAGGTAGGAAATCAGAAATTAGAGTGATTAGTGGTACTAGCTAGTCTATGGGATTCAGAGGTGATGCCGTCAGACTTGTCTACTTTAATCATCCCAGTCTCTAAGACGGGAGAGGAAAATTCTTGCGATAACCACAGGGGGTTTAGTTTGACTAATATTGTGTACAAGATCCTGGGGTGCATAGTTATCCCACGCCTTACTGGAGCTCGAGAAAAGCAGGCGGGTTCCAGACCTGGATGAGGGTGCATTGATCATATTTTTACGGTCTAACCGGTTCCGGAACACAGGCACACTTGCTGGCCAATGGCATATTTCTTGTCTTGAAGGCGCCGTTTGACTCTGTCGACCGACAGGTGTTGTTGCAGTGTCTGACTGTGAAGGGAGTACCGAGAGAGTATATAACGCTAATCGAGGCTCTCTACTCGAACTCCCGCAGCCGTTTGAGGGCTTATGGAGAGTTTTCATCGAAATTGATGACAACTAGTGGTACCCGCCAGGAATGTCCACTGTCATCGTTCCTATTTTATTTCATTATAGATGTACTAATGGACATAACCTTAGGTACGTCTGATTTCACAGGGACTGACCTATTCCCTGGAGGTCATCAAGTTGGCTTAGAGTGTGCAGATGATATTCTCCTGCCAGGTGAAGATGCTAATAAAATGCTAGGTCTTCTGAAGGCGTCGGGCAGAAACCTGAGTATATTTGATATGCACTTTGCACCTGTCAAATGTAGGATGATGCCCCAGAGCTGGTCGGCAACCACTCCTAGTTTAATGATAGCGATATAAATGGCCCGTTTGGCGTTTGCTGACGTGCATCATCTGCGGCGCCGACTGGTGACATATCCGAATACCTATCAAAGGACGATTATACTGCTCTGGAGTCCGTTCTGTCCCGTTATATCGCTATGAGACATGGCCGTTAAAAGTAGAAAAAATAAGGGGTTACAGGTTTCTGACCGCAGATGTCTTCGTAGCATTGCTCGCGTATGAGGTAGTCACAATATGCGCAATGTAGAAGTCAGTTGGAGGGTACTAGGGAAGACAGGTAAATCCATTGATGATACTGTGAAACCTTCATTTTACCTCCAATCCTCACCTATTATTATAACATTCATGCAGGAAGTATAAAATCCAGCAGTGGAATTTTGCAGAGAAGCTTCAAGAAGTCCGTGCTTTTGGTAATTATCGACAAGGTGTACCTGGATCTATGAGGAAACTGGTCTTCTCCCACTGATTCGAGCCTATCTCAGGCAGTAACGAATTCAGAGGCTTCGCTATTAAACTACTGAGGCCACAAATAACCTCATGTTTGACTGACAGTATTATACAAATGAATTAGTATCCGGTGGGTAATCGTGGTGTTTCCCCATGTTTTATCGTTGGGAGATGGTAGAGCTCACTCATTTTGGTAGTGCAACCATTTCCATATGAAGCTTGCTTAGGAGAATATTGACCATCACTTGTAAGTAGTGAGTTGACTTTGCAAAGGAAGCTGTGACTGTCTATCAAAGGATGAGTATATTGCACTGCAGTCCGTTCTGTCCTGTTATATGGCTGTGAGGTGTAGTCGTTAAAAGTAGAAGATATGAAGCAGTTACACGATTTTGATCATAGGTGTGTTCTCAGCATTGATCCTGTATTCATCATCATCATTATCAACATAGGACCAGGCATTACTGCGTAACGGTCCGAGTTGCCACACCTCATATCAGCACATCGAGTAAAAAGGTAGTGAAGCGAAGGATGAAGATAAATGAATGCAGTCAATAGAAATATAAAGTGCGAGAAGAAAGGAAAGAGGAGTGACAAGATGATGAGATTTGGTATAGCGTTGTTAAGATGAGGATAATGTGTGTATACATCTGCGCCACTGACTTCGGTTCTGAGCCATATCACCTAGGGTCTCCAACCACTGGTTCCTCTTGTCCCGTGGACCCCAACCACCTAGTCTGCATCGTCCTACATGGCTTAAACCAACAGTCAGAGACTTCATACATTGGTGCCATGTTTTAGTCTGGCCACCTCGGGCCTTTTTCCAGCCTGAACCCACCTCAGCCAACATTGTGTGACGAGGCAATCGGTGACTAGGCATACGTAGTACGTGTCCCAACCATCTCAGTCGATGAAGGTTCACAACCTCGTCGACTGACTTACCTCTTCTCCCTAAAACTCTACACCTAACTTCTGCATTACTCACATGGTGACACCACGGAATACGTCCTATACTACGAAGGCAACGGTGGTCAAACACCTGTAACCTTTTCATGTCTTCCACTTTCAATGGCCATGTTTCACAGCCATACAGTAGAACAGAGCGGACTGCTGTGCAGTACACGCGACCCTTAATAGACAAACGAATATCACGGCGGCGCCATAGGTGGCGCAAATTGGCAAAAGCCAATCGAGCCTTTTGTATCCGTGCAGAAATCTCATCGGCAACTAACCCACCGGGTTGATCCTACTTCCCAGGTAAGTGAAGTGGTCAACACACTCAACCACTTCACTCTCTATTGTTAACCGCGGTACCGCTGAAGACCAGTCCTGGAGCAAAAATTTGCATTTGGGTGGTGAAAATCGCATCCCAAACATTCTCAAATTCCCACTCAAAGTGTTCAGAAGACTCTGCATCTTGTCAGCGTCTTCACCTAACAGGACTATGTCATCTGCATATTCTAGATCTAAGGAAAATTCACCTGTGATTCGGTCAACGTCTTTGTAATTAGGTGACGAGAGGGAAACCTCCATAAGAATATCTATGATAAAATTAAATAAGAATGGGGATAGTGGGCATCCTTGACGGACACCACTTGATGAGTATAGCTCCCTGGACAACTCACCATAGGCTCTAACATGCCCACAAGTGTTCGAGTAGAGAGCTTTCAATAAGGTGATGTACTTACTAGGCACGCCTTTCAGTGACAGACACTGCCATAAGACTTCTCGATCAACGGAGTCAAATGCCGCCTTCAGGTCGAGAAATACAGCTATTGTCGGGCGTCTGTAAGCATGCCTATGTTCCAGGACCTGGCGCAGTGTGAATATTTGGTCGATACATCCACGGCCAGGTCTAAAGCCTGCCTGGTTTTCTCGGGCTTGCTGTTCCCGAGCTCCACTCAGGCGTCGGAGAATTATAGAACTTAGGATCTTAGACACTATGTTTGTCAGGCTGATTCCTCTGTGGTTATCACAAGAGGACTTCTCGCCTTTCTTGAAGACTGGGATGATGAGTGACTTAGACCAGTCGGAGGGGATCGTATTTGATTCCCATATACTGGCTAACACTTCCGTTAGCCTGACTAAGAGAACTCTACCACCATTCTTGTATACCTCAGCAGGTAGTCCGTCTGGTCCTGCTGCCCTTCCCCGTTTCAGGCTACCTACCGCTTTCTCAACTTCTTCTAGTGTTGGGGGGCCTGTCTCTATGTCCCATTCAGGGTCCGACTGGATAGCGGGCAGCGCAATCGTGGCTGGAGGCCAGTTAAACTGTTCCTCGAAGTGTTCTGCCCATCGTTCCAGTCGTCTTCCTGTATACGCTATGTTGAGGTCAGGTGAAGGGTACTAGACAAGATAAGCAAGTCCATTCATGACGTTGTGAAACTTAATCGCGTGAGGTGGCTTCCACATATATGGAGCATGCAGATCCACTGCCTACCTCGACGTACCATACTACGGGAAACTGGATGAGGTTAGAAGAGGGTCCGGGGTGTCCAGACGAAGACGTGATGGCACCAGTCAATGAAGTCTGTGACTGTTGGTCGGATGTATGTTAGGGGATGTAGACTACCTAACTGGAATCCCTGAGACGATAAAAATCAGTGATTGAGGACTCTTAGTGACATGACCGAAAATTGGTCACAATGGTCCAGATATATTCACTCCTTGACATCTTATGCTTGAATATTTGCACTGCTCCTATTTTTGAAATTGTTTATTCTCTCATACGATTTTTTTTAACATTGAGATCACTCTTTTTCTGTCCATCTGCTCTTTGTGTACTATTGTAGAGTGTAGCTACTTGGGCCTAAACACCTATGTAGGAAGTTGTGCTTTGATTTTGTGTCAATCAGTCACCAGCTGGATGCATTATACGGAAGTTTTCGATAAAGAACTAATCAGGAAATCTTTCGACTTAAAGTGATCAAATGTTTCAGCTATGTAGTCGATGAATGATGTTCAAATACTTAATGTGAAAAGGTTGACTGCAGTTAAACTGTAGCATAGCGAGTGAACCCATAGCATTGGTTAAAAGTGCGTTTCATTGTTGTGATGTTACCGAATATGGATAAAGCTTACTTTCCTAGTGTGAATATTCGCTTCATCTCAAAACCGTGGTAATGACTGCTGCATCATCCACCTTGAAGGTTTATAGTAGAAGTTCAGTGACTAGGTTTTTTTACTCCTAACACAGCTCAAGGTCTTAAGATGCACATCAAAAAGATAGCAGCCAACAATTACGAAAATGAAGAAGCACTCAGACATCTGCAGATGTGTATTTGTATGTGTGGTCGGGATTAAAGCAAGGAATCTGTTGGATGAATTGTCGGATGTCAAAGTAATCACTAACTCTGACATGGTACGAAAAAGTCAAATCAAGGGACACCTAAATACTGTAACTCAGCAACTCAGTATTTGGTAAATTTAGTGGTCAGCGACATTCATCACTTGAATGCTAATCAGACCATCTGAGTTTGCCCTTCAGTTAAGTGACTAACTGGATTTCAGAAATTCTGCGTCTATTTTCCTCCTCTTTCAACTTCCTTTATTCTAGTTGCTTTCGATATTGACTTCATTTTTCGGTTTTCCGCCTGCGCTATTGAGAACTTTTGTAATAACTTTAATCTCTGTGTGGCTATGCGATTTTTCTTCGTAGTTTGAACTTGAAGGCGACTGACTAATTCACATACTAAAGCCTAGTGTCAAATCAATCTTAGTTGCTCTACAGAAAACAATAATTTATTACGGAGGCTGAATTGGTTGTACTGGACTCGTGGGTTTGAACCCCGCTCCACCTAGCGAGGTTTGGGCTGTCAGGTAGTATCACTTGCTTTCACGCGATAGATGTGGTTCATTGCCTACTGCACGGATGTGCACAAGGTGACTGAATGCGTTTCGTTTCATGACTAAGACTGAAACGTTTAATGACCTATGCTGTGTAACTGAATACTAAAACATGACTCGCCTGTTCAAGTATGAACTAGGAGCTAGAAATATAACTGATTAGGGGGGGGGTATCTTCTATTAATGTTCTCAAGAATCAGAACCTCAGTTGTGTTGGCTTCGAATTCACATGCTAGTAATAGATAATATTGTGTAAAGATATGCTTGACTCATAAAATTGGTTGTGTTCGATTTTCACTCGATACACTTTTCTAATTGCTAAACTTGTCAGAGTTAGTTTGGACTCAGCAATTTACATACTCTATCTCATTGATCAAATGCAGTGATTTCTAGCCGACCTCATGCAACGTACAGTTTCATTAAGTGGCTTGTCCTTTTAGAGTACGTCGGTATGTTGGGTGTAAATAGTTAGTTAGTAAACGAAATCATCCTAACTTTTGTGGTAAATTTTTATTCGTATTTTTCATAATTGGAACTCTATGTGAAGACGCAGATTAGTTATCACCTGACAGAGGTACTGTTAGGATCCCCACTATGACCTAGTGAATATTTGCATTTCAGATAGACAGTCAGTGATTGTTAGGATCAAAATGTTTTGATTTCAACTTTGTATTCATTTTTATTTAGTTCTGTCATATTTTTTTCTTTCAGCGTGGCTGACACTACCACAGAACCTTCACCGGGGAGGATACTATCGAAATCTACCAGGTCCTCAAATATCTTGTCTATTAATGTGCTTCTACTTCCCTCCCATGAATAATAATAATAATAAAAACAGTATCACTATAAAAGTTTAGTTTCTAGTGTTGTATATTATTGCTATCAGCAGGACAGCAAACAGAGAAGGACAATATTTTTCAAATACGCAAATTTTCCTGGAACGGTAGTTAAAGAAATGTTTTAAGTGTAACATGTTGATAATACATTCCGCTTCGAAGATCAATCTGTTACAATATCATATTACTATATAATGTTCGTGGGTGATTGTACAGTTCGACCTTTGGAGGTAATGATGACAACAGATGTTCCAAGTGATTGTCTTTTAGGTATACTGTGATTACCTATTGTATGCATTCGACAAAGTGATTCTTCAGAACTACTGTCAGCTGATAGGGTTGGGTTTGGCAAATGATTGTTGTGTGCATTTTTGAGCTCATGTTGATCTAAAATAAGATGAAAATCCAGGAAATAAAAGTTTTACTAGAGCAAGTATGCACTTGTCAATGGTAAGTTGTGTGCGGGTTAGTGATACTATCTGGCTACCCAGACCTCAGCAGGTGTAGTGGCGTCCGATCTCAACGACCTACTGGTTGGAAGTTTCAAAGTGTTTGTACGTGGTAAAATTCTTTATTTCTAAAGAACATTTGACCTGTAGAGAACCCGGATGTGTAATTTTCATAGGACGTCGAATTGAACGTGTCAGTGTCTACGAAGTGTTTTAAGGCGATTAGTTGTTAAAACATCCAGGAGTGTTCGTGAACTTTCGAGCAATTACTAGGCTTTAGTGTTTGCATTGTGTGATTTTTTAAAATACGAATTAGATTGTCTCCTTAGGGATTTTGAATACCTTTAAATTTTTATAATCAGGTTGGTTTTATATTATATTCTAGTTAGACAGATGAACTGTGACATTCAAATTCACGTGTTCGGTAGTTAATAAAATTGCCCATTGGTTGAGGGGAAGTATGCGATATTTGTCCAGGGATTAGCATACGTAGTCAGGCATGTTTGAGACTACTGAACACCCAACTCAGTTTCATAATAACTAATTAGTACTAAGTTATACTGAAGGGGGTCAATAAGATCATACGATATTGATCTGAAATATACCACAGATTGTCTAGCCAAATTCAGGTTTTAAGTTTGTATTATTTACTGTATGGGAAAAGAATCTCTAAACACTTTCAATGTGGTTCCACGACACAAGTACTGTTTTGTATTTCGTTACGGAGAAAATGTGTGGGGAGGAGTTGCAAAAGCAACTTCAGGACCTGTCAGCTAATTCATTGTTTCTAGCTTTTTTAAATAAAATGGATGTTTTCGAACAAACCTGGACTGTTGAGAACGAGAGTGTCAAACGACAGAGGGGTAACCATAGGTGAATAAACAGTCTTACGAGCTAAGATTATAAGCCATGCGTGCACAACCAACCATCGGATATATTTTAGTTTATTACAGGGATACAAGACGCTTACTACTAAGCGTCGACTACATCAGTGTGCACTGACTGTTTACTGGAGAATAGCTAATCTGATGTCGTAATCGTGACCGAGGCACGTCGGTCATTTTGCAATGTGGTCGTCCAGCTGTGGGCCTTAACGATTGATGTTAGTTGCTTGGAGGCAGTTGGTAAGATCCCCTACTCGACATGGGTTTTGTGTCTGCCTACAACCTCGAGAGAACCGATATCGTCTCGTGGAGCAGTGGCTTAGGGAGATGACTGTAAATCACGAGTCAGGGCTCACCTCCAACTACCGAGGTTTGGGCAGTCAGGTAGCATCATTGGCCCTCACATAATGGTTGCAGCTGGTCGGCTACTCCACAGATGTCCATAAGGTGGCTGAGTGGGTTTCGTTTTCGATATTCGTCCCCATAGGTCTGGACTCTGCTGTAGTCAGCGACATTACAACGGAGTAATTCGACCTTACTGATGAGTGCCAACAAAGGAAAACTCAAGGTCCAGGATGTCCTGCTGATTGCTACCTTCTAACATTAGAATAGTGTTTTGGCACTGTAGAACACCTTTTTGCAAACTCATTTTTGTACGAAACATAAACAGTAGTCATTTCTCGAATGTTACTTCGTCGATTGGCAGAAAGGCTGGTTTATGTAGTTTAGCTAAAATCTACAGAGAATGTAGCCACATTCATGATCTGAAGTTAAGTTGGTGTTGCTAGCCAGGTATGGTGCTCATTCAAATTGATGGTTGAGAGATCATAATTGGATTCATAACATGCTCCTGAGTGCAATCATCTATCATAATCGCCTGACTGTATGACTACTTCAGAGTAAGTGAGACGTCTTCCCTTGTCGTGGAGGCAAGGGATTCTGTCACTTTTATTAGTGTTATACTAATGTGGAGCGGTTGTAACGTTCAACATTGTGTTAGTCTAAGGTCGTTATGACACCAATATTATTGAGGTCATATGAGTTATGCCTAAAAGTGTTTTGAAGAGTTGCGTGCATGGTAGTTGGCCTACCGTTCAAAATACCGCTTTAGTAGGATCGGCATAGTAAGATCATGCGTATACAGTAGTGAGAAATCAAAAAATCTATTGCACGGTGATATTTCTAAATTTGTGTCACAGGTTTACTGCAGGGAAAACTGTTGATGGAAATTCTTAGTATACAGGATAGATAAAAAGTTGGTTATACGATCTGCCTCAGCTTTACATGAGTGAGCGAATACTTTCATATTATTTTTCGCTGCACAGCACCAAGTAGCAAAGTAATAAGATAAAAGATGAAGAAAGGAAGAGAGAACAGTCAGAAGCAGTAAAAGAAGGGAAGGAGAAATGAGAAAATACTGAATTCAATACGATGATTAAGATCAGGACAAAGTGGAGATAAATCTGCTCTACTAGTATCAATTCTTAGCCATATCACCTAGAGTATTCAGCTACTGGGTGTGCTGTTACGTGGACCACAACCGACCAGTCTACTTCCATTAACATGGATCAAACCGACAGTTAGGGACTTCAGTCAGTGGTGCTGTGTTTTAGTTTAGTTGTCCCAAGACTTTTCAAACCTGAACCTATTTCAGCTAACATTGCGCGACGAGGTAGATGGTGAGTAGGCATATGTAATGCGATTCCCAGCCATCTCAGTCGGTGAAGTTTCACAACTGCATCAGCTGACTTTCCTCTTCATTAAAACACTGCACCTGATTCCTATTTTGCTCACCTGGTGACACCGAAATATGGCCTATACTACGAAGGCAATGCCGGTCAAACACCTGAAGCTTTCTCATATCCTCTATCGGTAATGTCCATATCTCATAGCCATACAGTAGAACAGAGTGAACTGTGGCGCAGTATACTTGACCCTTAATTAGACAGTCAGATATCGCGTCGGCGCCACAGATGACATAAGTTAGCGGAAGCCAATCGAACCAGGTGTATTCGTGCTGAGATTTCATCGGCCACCGACCAATACACCAGGGCTGATCCGACTTCTCAGTTCAGTAAAATGTTCAACACACTAGACCACTCTCTACAGTTAAGGGAGGTACCATTTACAACAGTTTTTCAGTGTTTAGTGTATGATTCAGTGTAGTTGGACGGAAATATAACTAAGGATGCTCAGACCGAGAAATGGCATCAATTCTTGATGTGTTTCTGACTAAAATAAGCCGGTAAGATATTTGAAATAAGTTGTAGCTTGTACAAGAAGTTCTAGGTGTCTGGGTCTAGATGCAGGACAAACTGGGACCAGTATCTTGAGACAAGATAATATGACTGGGAACGAAATCTCAGTAGCGCGAACGTACTCATGACTCACTCCTGTCATATCTCATCATTCTTTGTAACTTCTTTACATCCTATTAATTTCTACTTTTCACCCAGTTACATTTCCTTGTTATTAGTTTTGTTAGCTTGTTTATTTACGCATTGATGTTAGGTGAGACACAGTAATGCTGTTACTAGAACTGATTAAAGAGAAAATGTAAAGAATGCCTGTTAAAAAAAAGAAATATTTTACTGTTTTTAGTGGAATACATCTCCAATCAAAATCCACTCACAGCAACATTGCAGCAGATTTTTTCAGTAAGCAGTGTGGTACACTTACGATGTATGAGGGAGGGTTAGTGATACTACTATCTGGCTGTACCCAAACCTCGATAGACGGAGCAGGGTTCGAACCCGTGACCCACTGGTTGTGTTCCGTGTGTGGGAATATATTTAATTCTATAACCCAATTGAATTGTTTTCTTTAGTTTTATTCGAATAAAGGAATTAAACCAATTATTGTGGTCAGTCCTAAAGCAATGATAAGTATGTTTATTGAAGCTCATAGTCTACTGTTGTCCTGAATCCCACTGCTAGTCTCACCACTGAAGAAGTTATAGCCTAATTACAAGGGTGATTTACATTTTCATTACACATAACGAAAGGAATAAATAGTTTGGCATGTAACTGTATTTTGACATCATTTCAAATATTTCATTAGAAAATGGTATTTTAGTTTGAAATTTATTAGGATTTTATTTTTAAAGTAGTATTCATCGCAAACTAACACCAGTTGGAGAATCGCTGAAACCCTGGGAGCAATGGATAGATGTTTCGTCATAGTGTAGGGTACCTCAGCAGTGCAGACTGACGTCCCCGCCGGGGATTGGACCCAGAACCATCAGGTTTCATGGTGAACATTAACTGACAGAAGTAGGGAACTGTGGACAATTGATTTCCGACACAGTAGCTGAGTGGTTAATGCGTTCGTAGAGAGACCTGAAGATCCTGGGTTTGATCCGTGGTAGGATCCTGAGCACGTGCCATTGAGAAGTCTCGTTCTAGGCCGAAACAGCTATCCAGTGCTTCCATGTTTTCTTTCATTGGTTCTCCAGTTGATGTCAGCTAGTGATGAATACAATTTTAAAATGGTATTGCTCATATGGTAGCTAACCATAAAAACATTTAAAGACAAAGATGAACAGATAAAGACCTAGCGTGACTGAGTACAGTACATCCAAGTTGCCTAAGGTCATATTCAAATACTGAGGAATTCAGATGATATCGTAATTTGCAAACACCCGACCGATAGCTGCTACCTTGACGTGGTGGTCGGGCTTGCATATCACAATGACCCAACGAGCTATGCTGGTGGAACGCTTGTTCCCTCGAGGTCCTACCATACCAGAAAGGTCTGTTGGGTAGTGGTTAGACGAAAAGCAGTTACCGTCATAGTGTAAATTGCTATACTATGATGGGGGTCTGAGGGCGAAGTCGTACTGCTGCTAGCTGGATGGGGTGTGACAGCAGTAAGGTGTTTCCCTTGGATGACCAGCAGTGCCAAGCTGATGCTGCCTTCTCAGTGGAAGGGGGGGTTAGAAAAGGTCGGCCCCAAAAATAACACACTCCACCACGCCCCACGGTCTGCCGGGCCGGCGGTGTTGGTTCACTTGTCGTTTCCTTTCGCTCATCCGGCCCCAAAAATACAAAAATTC